GATGAGTTGAAAAGAGTCAACAACTTCTGGTTACAATGTTCTTTCAAAAATTTTCAGCAAAAAGATCCCAAAAATAGAAATCCTTTAACTATTGAGGATCCCTAAACCATCGACATTGTCTGCTCCTTACATGTAACCATCGACATTATCTTGGCCCAGTGATCCAGGATCACCCAAAGCTGACTATTTGATGATAATGTAGCCTAACAACATCACCGATACCTACTCAATCACCACATTTCATCTCTTCACGTAGGCATTGTATGACATTTCACAGCTTCACAAGGGTGAGTACAAGTTACTTTGAGAGTGAGAAACCACATTTGCATAACTTTTATTATAATGTTGTAATTGTTCTATTTTGTTAGCTATTTTTAATCTCTTAACATGCCTAATAACAAATTAAACTTGATCATAAGTATGTTTGCATAAGAAAAAACAGGCTGGACATGGTGGTTCATGCCTGTAATCCCAGCACTTTGGGAAGCTTGGGTGGGCAAATCACTTGAGCTTAGGAGTTCAAGAGCAGCCTTGGCAACATGGTGGAATTAATCACTCAGAAATATATATATACCAACGTATTAGCAATATGTTTTAGCTATACTTACAATGTTTCATATGCATATTTCTGTAATCACCACAATCAAACTACAGAACTTTTCCACCACAAGGCTCCCTTTAGGCCACATTCTCCTTCCCTTCATCTTTAAAACTTGGCAACCATGAATCTTGTTTCCCATCTCTATAGCTTTATTATTGTGTTAAAAATGTTACAAAAACAGAATCATACAGTGTGTAACCCACCCCCAGCCCCCAAGCATAATTCCCTCAGGTCCATCCAATTTGTTACATGTATCAGTAGTTTGTTCCTTCACATTGCTACTTAGTGTTCCATGGTGTGAGCATACTAAACCATGCACTGTCTCCTTGAAGGACATCCAGATTGTTTCCAGGTTTTGGCTATTATAAATGAAGGTTCTACGTAACATTTGTGAATGTTAAGTTTTTACTTCTCAGGAATAACTGGTAAGTAGTGCAAATGCCAGGTTATATGTTAAATGCATGTTTACTGTTGTAAGAAACTGCCAAGAATATTTTCCACAGTGGCTCTATTATTTCGTATCTCACTAGCAACGTGTGAGTGATCCACTTATGCAAATTCTCTTGCATCCTAGCAAAACAAATAACTCTTAAAATTTATCATTTGGAACTGTCTTTTCTTTCTGCTTTTTTCTGCAATGGTATTACTTGTCCTTTTAGAATTGAAATCAAGAGTAGAAAGGTTAGATTTAGTCCAGCTTCCCATTTTAGTCCAGTCTCCCATTTGATATAAGCCATAGTAACAGTCCCCTTTACAACATTTGATCATTACTGTCACTTAACCCTTCGAGGATTGGGGACTAGTATCTTTCTCAGTTTGGATAATAGATTCTCATTGTTCATTTTACTGCTTTCCTATTATCCTCTTTAAAAGGAACAATAATAAATCTAAGCTTGCTAAAACAGAAACAAAAACAACCCAAGTACAAAAACAGGAGGGTTTTTGTTTTTAAAACTGTCCCATTATTAGGTTTTTAATTCATCATCAGTGAAGACCTCTAGGATTTTCCCTGTCCTGCATTTTCTTGGCTTTTTCAGATACAGGGATCCAGAATCCATCTTCATGTGCCCTCTTACGTAACATCATTCCAGCTCTGGATTCTTGTTATGACAAATGCCTTCCAGAAGCCTAGACATGTAAAAGTGACAGCAGTGCAGAAACAGAACGGTACCTAAGGATTTCTACCAGCTTGTGGTAGAAGAGTGGCTTGTCTGGATGGTTTGGGGGAAATGACCAAATAATAATATACCAACCTACACCAAGCATTGTATTTTCCTATATGCTATTTTACCAAGTTTTAAGATGTTACTTATTTCTGAAAATGAAATAGTCTCAAAGGAGTTTTGATTTCCCAAGATCACCTAGCTAGCAAATGATCTAAGGATAACTGACAGGATTCCATATTGTGTTGATTAAAAATTTAGAATCCTGAGCCATATTCCAGACCTAAAGAATCAATTTCTAGGGTGAGGTAGAGGAGCAGGGTAGGTTCCTGGGTGGTTACTTAGCATTCTAAACTTTAAGAACGGATTATCTTTCCTTTCATATATTTTGAGCAAAAATTTTACCTTTTAAGAACAATGCATGTTTAGGCAACAGGTGAATAAGTACATATAGAAACAGAACTCCAATGGAAAGTAGAATGATGTATAATAAGAGGTGTAGAGAGTTTCAAAAGGTGTAGGGGTTTTGAAACAGGAGGAGAGCACATTATTAACTAAGATTGAGATGAAGGAAGGTTTTAAGGAGTAGACATTAACAAATGACTGGGAGGTAATTTTCTTTGATAATTTTTATTATATATATTCAGCTCAGTACTCACAATACATTGCTTAATTAAGAAGGCTGTTCACAAGTATAAAGCAGTTTGAGCAACACTGTGCATTATTATACTTTAGACGAAAAATCCTTACATGCTAAATCAATTTCTTTTAAAATTTCAGATAAATAATTTTCATTTGATGAGACATGAAATTATAAATGCTTAGTTAAGACATCATGTTTAAGGATTCATTTTACCATAAAATTACAAACACCTCCATGTCTTGACATTTCACATGAAAGAACAGCACAACATTAATCATCGAATTGCAAATCAGAGCAAGCTCTAGGCCTTAGTGTGAGGCGAACTTGGTAACTTCTACACTATGGAAACTGGTTGGGCCTTAAATATTTTAATATTTAAAAAATTTATATATTAAAAACCAAAGATAAAATGAGCTGGTAAGTGATAAGCAGCTTACTCAATTTAGCCTAACTTTAATTTAGAAATAGAATAGTGACATTAAAAAAAAAAAACCGTGTGAAGCAGATAAACGGTATTGTTTAGGAATATTACAAATTTTTTCTCTGTCTACAAATTTTGCTTTTTTGGTTATGCCTCTTAAATATCTCAGTCTTTATACTTTGTGTATAAAAATAATTGTCCTTCATACTCCAAAATTCTTTTCCAAATGAAGCTGTTATTATTTTTGTATGGTAAGGAGTTACTGAATCATAGGTTTAAGATCAGTGGCACAAGGCATATATGTAGAAGATTATGTAACAAATTCATTGTTAGGAGTCAGAGAGTATAGTACGGTAACAGCCATACATAAGAGGTAGAATTCTTAATCACAGTTTTATAGAAGAGATGCAGTAGTTTATATGTGTACCCTGCTTTATTAGTTATGGTACTGTAAACTTCCTTCTCATTACAAATTTAACAGAAAGGGCAAAAGGGAGGGCTATTCATAGGCAAGGATCTTGTTGACCCTTGTTCTGCAAGTGTTGCAAAGGCTACCCCTAGACACTTGAAGCATTTTCTTGGCCAATTAAGGTAATTGATCGTATATGGCACTTACGTAATTTTTCAAAGGCTTTTGAGCAGGGAAATCTAAGCTGCTCTTTTCCCAGCGGCCTAAGAAGGAAGGAAATCTATCTCCCTTTGAACTACTTTGTGTGTAAATGAAATCACTCTATCTGTTTATTATTATTGCTTATCAAGAATTCCAGCATTACTAACCTGTTGAGGGGTTCTATACCCCAAATTTTAAGTTGATTGTTTCTAACTCACAATATAGTCATAATGTTATAAGTGGGCATAGCTTAAAAATTATAGTTCATTCATGGTGAAGTTAAATTACTAGTACTTAAGACCCCGTAGACTTCAATAAGCTAGATGGCAGAGACTTTGTTGTATATATGGGTTATTCACATTTAGGTATTTAAAACTTGGGAGTCTATGTTTCCAATTCTTAACTTCAATATCAATAAATAAAGTGATCAGAAAGGCCACTGTATAAAAGTTATAATAAAAATTGTTAACAATATATACACTCAGTGCTAAACCTTACAGTAGGGATTACATTTCACAAAATGTACTAGAATACTTAACAAAAACCAATTCAAACCAGAATTCTTGTAGAAAATAAAATCCACAGCCAAATAGTTTATTCCAGTTAACTGAGAATTAATCTCCTATTTATATTATGATGAGGATGTCATAATGAGCCAATCAGATTCTAAATATTTATTTTTAGTTCTGCTTAAGTGAGTTTTATTTTGGATTAGGTGTTCTCAAGTTTATCTAAATACTTTCTTGTTTCTGATCATTCTTTTTTTTTTCTGAGATGGAGTCTCACTCTGTCGCCCAAGCTGGAGTGCAGTGGCGTGATCTTGGCCCACTGCAACCTCTGACTCCCAGATTCAAGCGATTCCCTGCCTTAGCCTCCTGAGTAGCTAAGATTACAGGCGTGTGCCACCACACCCAGCTAGTTTTTGTATTTTTAATAGAGACGGGGTTTCACCATGTTGGTCAGGCTGGTCTTGAACTTCTGACCTCATGATCCACTTCCCTCAGCCTCCCAAACTGCTGGGATTACAGGTGTGAGCCACCTTGCCCAGCCCTCTGATACTTCTTAGAACTCAGAAAAGGAGATATTTGTTTATTAGGCCCAGATCATTTTAGCAATTCAGAGCTGCTGGTAATAATGTATTATACAAGTCAGCAATCATGTTAAAATTAACATAATTAACTGTTGACAGACACTGTTGACAGATAATATTAAAAATAATTTTTTTTACCTCACATTTAATTTAAAAATCCTATTGTTTAGTGAAGGGTTAGACAGAATGTGTCCCTATGGAGGAGGAAGCTTTTAAACTATATCCTTCATCTCAAAGAGAAAACATATCCTAATTTTATTAAGTGTAACTTTGCATTTGCATTTTTAAGACTTGTCAAAATGTCAGCTTTTGAAATGTAAGCTAAGTACAAAGACTAATACTTTCTGCTAATGTTACATTGAAATATATTTGATTATAAAAAATCACAAAAACCTAATTGTATTTCAAAGCTATTATTCTATTTACATTATAGGAGAGATACATATGTAAATAGAGAAAAGTTGGGCTTTTGTAGTCTAAAGATTTATTCAGTCCATAATTAGGTAATTCTCAGATGATTTGAAACTTAAAATTGCCACAGTTAATTTGTAACTGCCACTTTTACAAAAAAAGTTCTGGGTAAGAGAACCTGTTAAAAACAGACTGGTGTTGCAATTAGGCCCAATACTCATTTATTTAAATCACCTAAGACATTTGCAAAATTTTTCCAAGTTAGGGAAATGCAGTTATTAATATGGCTTCATTCACTTAAACCTATATTCTGCAAAGTGTTCCTGTTATACACTTAAGTAAACTGGATCAACAGTATTACTTGCACAGAAAGTGAAGTCTTAATTTTCACATTAAAATTATACCTGTTTCACACTTAAGATATCTCAAAGTATTTTGGAGAAGACCATTAATGATCTTTACTGTAACAGTTCTGCATTTTTCTGCCTCGTTTTTCAATGTTAGGTATTCTAGATTGGACTTTTAAGTTCTACTTTTCCTCTTATCTTCAAATAGACCCTTCAGCATATAAACTTGAATGGCTGACACCACCACCATAACCACTAAATTAACCATAGACCAGAAATTGACTCTATCAAAGTTGCTTTCTTGTATGTTTCGATCACGAGCTTCAAATGCTCTAAGCAGAGTTTGTATGTGACCACTTTTGCTGAGTCTGGACTTGATGCTGTTGATGGATTCCTGGAGACAAAATAATTTTATTATTAAAGAATGCCCAGAAATTTTAACTTAATTAAAAAATGAGGCTGGGTGCGGTGGCTCATGCTGTAATCCTAGAACTTTGGGAGACCAGGGTAGGAGGATCCCTTGAGCCCAGGAGTTCAAACCTAGGCTGGACAACACACAGAGACTCTGCCTCTACAAAAAGACAGGTATGCTAGCACCACCTGTGGTCCCAGCTACTTGGGAGGCTGAGGTGGGGGAATCACTTGAGTTTAGGAGGTTGAGATTGCAATGGGCCATGATTATGCCAATGCACTCCAGCCTGGACAACAAAATGAGACACTGTCTCAAAAAAAATTTTTTTTTTCAGAATATGCTTTATGTTTTTTATCCAAATGCAATTTTAAGATAGATGGCTATACAATTCAATTAATAGGCAGGTACTGTGTATATCACATTAGAGATTCTATGTAAGGTTATGTGATAGTTCTCCTGAAATACTGTTTATAAGTAGTTATTTAACAAGGGAACAAAGCTACTGTGAATTGAAAATAGGTAACATGAAACCATTCTGAGTAGCATAGCATCAGGAGTTTTATGTACATTATCTGTTTCTTAGCCCTTAGATGACCAAAGGAAATGATGCTTTTTCCTGAGACCGTGCCTGGCCAAATGATTAAGTTTTTAGAGATGGGCGTCTTGCTGTATTGCCCAGGCTGGAGTGCAATATCTATTTATAGGTGTGACCATAGTTCACTGCAGCCTCATACTGGGCTCAAATGATCTCCCCCTCAGCCTTCTGAGTAGTTGGGACTACAGGTACCTGCTACCATGCCTAACAAATGATTTCATTTTTAAAAGCCCAATTGATAAAACTTTAGGTATTTACCTATTATATAATGCATTATGTTTATAATAATATTTTCTTCTTTGTAAGTCTGACCAATTTAGTATTCAGTAAAACACCTGTTTTAATACCACAAAATAGTTGTGAAATTAGAAAACATCTCACCTTTTATGTGCCTACTATATAATTAAAAGCACAATCTATTTATAATTTTTAAAATTCCAACTGCACATTTATAAAACAAGCTTACCAAGATGCAGTCTAAGTTGCATATGTGAAAAGAGCTATTTTTATAATAGGGTCCTGGTAAGATAAATGATTTGAAAGCTATAAAAGGGCTATATGAATATAAAGTAAAATTAAGCTGATACTTGAAATGATGTCAAAGTATTTGTGGCAAAAATAAAATTAGAAACAGATTTTCCTGGATAATACAGAGAAAATGCTTCATTCAGTGCCTATTACCATAGTAAGGCCTCTGGATATTATTAATTTTTATTTTATTAGAAGACCATACTGACCAGGATGTCTTCCAGTTTCATATCCAACATATCTGTGCCAGTAATATATTTCTTCCAATCTTCTTGTTCTTGGGCTTGTTCTCCCATATTATCCAGGATTAATTCAAAGAAAATCACCTTCTCAGAAATGGTGCTGAATGTATTGTCAAAGCAGAACATGTAATCACCAACTTCAGTCTCTACACTGTATAAAAAAAAAGTACATGTTTTTAGTTATCTGTGCTTCTATTTGTGATGAAAAGAAAAGCAACTAACAGCAAAAATAAGAAGTAACAGGCCAAGTGTGGTGCCTCATGCCTGTAATCCCAACATTTTGGGAGGGCAAGATGGGTAGATCACTTGAGCTCAGGAGTTTGAGACCAGCCTAAGTAACATGGCAAAAGCCCGTCTCTACCAAAAAAAAAATACAAAAATTAGCAGGGCATAATGGCTGGAACCTGTGGTCCCAGCTACTTGGGAGGCTGAGGTGGGAGGATGGCTTGAGCGTGGAAGGCTGAGGCTGCAATGAGACATGAGCATGCCACTACACTCCAGCGTGGGCGACAAAGCAAGATCCTGTCTCAAAAAAAAAAAAGAAAAGAACAAAACAGAAACAAAAAACAAAAAAATAGCATGGTTTATAATAATTTGGCAGCTTACCCATAAATTTCCTTAGTATTGAAAGATAATTTATAATTTACTGGGAAAGAGGCAACCTGAAAATATATACATTTAAGTACAACTTAGGCATGCTTAGCATTTACTCAGTAAATTATGATTAGTGACCTCATTTTTGGAAAAGGATAGGATTAAAAACCTATATATATAACTCGTAATAAACTTTAATATTTATACATTATTAAAAGTAATTTTATTGTAAGTTCAATTCATATGCAAATATGACTGCCAACCTACCCTTCAATTGAGATTAATCTAAACAGTTTTGTTTTGTGTTCAGAAGCAGTGATGGACTGTCCTAAATGTTTTCTTCCAGGCCTCCTATGGATTTTGCTTATTGACTCCCACTGGCTCCCTTGTAGATGTTTATGTTTGATCCTAAATGCTTTTTTTGAGAAATAAAACGTTTGTATTTTATTAATTAATTCTATAAGGGTAATTCAGCCCATCATTAATTATGCCAAGTGCTGAAGAAAAAAATCAATAATACCTGAATTATCAGTACCCTAATTAAAATTAGTTTCCCATATTAGCAAAAGTTAAAAGTAGGACCAGGTGCTGTGGCTCATACCTATAATCACAGCAGTTTTTGGAGTCTGATGCAGGAAGATTACTGTAGGCCAGGGGTTCAAGATTAGCCTGACAAAAGTGAGACCTTGTCTCTACAGAAAATTTTAAAATTAGCTGAGTGCACACCTGTAGTCCTAGCTACTCGGGAGGCTGAGGCGGGAGGCTTGCTTGAGTTCAATAGTTTGAGGCCGCAGTAAGCTGTGATCACACCATTGCATTCCGGCCTAGGCAACAGAGAAAGATCTTGTCTCTTAAAAAAAGAAATTAAATTTAAAAGAAAAAGAAAAAGACTACTTAAGAAAAACCAGTGACATACTGAAATTTTTGCTGCTCTTACAAAATTAATGCAGCTAAAGATAAAAGCTTTCTTTAAATCTAATTTTTAAAAAATAGATTTGTAAATCTGGTGTGATGATTAAGAGTGAGTTGGACTGCCTGAGTATAGATCCTGGCTTTGCTGTTCACTAGCTGTGTAACCTTCAGGAACTTAATTGTTATATGCCTCAGTTTCCCCATCAGTAAAATAATATTTACCTCATAGGACTGTGGTGAAGAATAAAAAAAATTAGTATATGAAAGTGCTTAGAACAATGGCCTGGCAAAAGAATGCAATAAATGTGAACTATTAGAAACTCAATTCTTTTTTCCCCATTATTTAATGAGAGGTAATTCTATACAAGGAAGCAGTAAGATACTTATTTTTCTAATGGTGAATTTTATTATCTCAAAAAGGGAGCGAATAACTGGGTAAAAATAAAGATTGACAGAAATTTTGAACATTTAAAAAATTGTGAAACTTAAAGATGAACTATAGTTTTAGTTCTTTTTTTCTTTTTTTTTGAGACGAAGTCTCACTCTGTCGCCAGGCTGAAATGCAGTGGTGTGATCTCAGCCTACTGCAACCTCCGCCTCCCAGGTTCAAGCAATTCTCCTGCCTCCACCTCCCTAGTAGCTAGGACTACTGGCGTGTGCCCAGCTAATTTTTGTATTCTTAGTAAAGATGGGGTTTTACCGTGTTGGCCTCATTCTCTTGACCGTCTCATTCGCTAGACCTCGTGATCTGATCACCTTGGTCAGAGCGCTGGGATTACAGGCATGAGCCACTGTGCCTGGCTCATTTTTAGTTCTTATACACATATAAAAGAGAAAACATAGTTAATTCCAAGTATATCAATATAAACTTCTAAAATTAATATTTCTATTTTACTTAGTAATTGCTTATGCAAATATTTTCCTGAGCTCTGCATAGGTAAAATGCCATTTAAAAATGCTTTTTTTGTTTGTTTGTTTTGAGACAGAGTCTTGCTCTGTTGCCCAGGCTGGACTGCAGTGGCATGATCTTGGCTCAATGCAACCTCTATCTCCCGGGTTCAAGTTATCCTCCTGCCTCAGCCATCTTAGTAGCTGGGATTACAGGCACGTGCCACCATGCCTGGCTTATTTTTGTATTTTTAGTAGAGACAGGGTTTTGCCACGTTGGCCAGGTTGGACTCGAACTCCTGACCTCAGCTTATCCATTCACCTTGGCCTCCCAAAGTGCTGGGATTACAGGCGTGAGCCACCGCACCCAGCTGTAAAAATGCATTTTAAATGAATATCTTAAAAAATTACTGTTTGAGAAACTGGATTTAAAAAAAAAGAATAAAAAAAATTACTGTTGAGACACTTTTTTTCCTCTCATCCATTCATACATGTATTCAGCATTTACCGAGTGTCATTTATTAGGCACTTTGGTTAACAAAGACACTTCCAATGATAGCTAGTTCTTAGGATAGTGCTGTGCCAGGGATGTCCTAAGCATATGGTAAAAAGCATGGGTTTTTGGTCCATCTTGTCTCCACTCAGTATGTGTATCCCTGCAGACTTATTTGACTTCTCTGAGCTTCCTTATCTATAAAATGGGAGTCTTGAATCAAAGACTCTATCTCATAGTGAGTTGGAAAGATTAATTTAGAAGTATATAACCTGTCAACCATTGTTTATAGCAAATACTAGATACTCCATATTTGTTCTTCCTACAGATTCACAGTTTAGTTTTAACGCAATAACAATACTGACTTAAGAAAATGTTATAGTAAGATAATAGAATAGAACTGGGAATATACTGGTGAGATATGAAAAGAGGGAAGTGAGGTGTCAGAAGAAGAAGAAAGGCCGGGCGCGGTGGCTCACACCTGTAATCCCAGCACTTTGGGAGGCCGAGGTGGGTGGATCACGAGGTCAAGAGATTGAGACCATCCTGGTCAACATGATGAAACCCTGTCTCTACTAAAAATACGAAAAAATTAGCTGGGCATGGTGGTGCGTGCCTGTAATCCCAGCTACTCAGGAGGCTGAGGCAGGAGAATTGCCTGAACCCAGGAGGCGGAGGTTGTGGTGAGCCGAGATCGCGCCATTGCACTCCAGCCTGGGTAACAAGAGCAAAACTCCGTCTCAAAAAGAAGAAGAATACATAGTCTTTTGCTGAACTCTGAACTCAAAGAGTTATAATAAGTATTTTCTTTTTATATAGTTTCCTATGTTCAGATCTTTTACTTTCAGGCCTTCTAATTATCTAAAATGAATGAGGTCTGAGTAAAAAAAGAAATTTACATACACACAAAGATATACTGGACAACAATGGTATAGCCAGCAGCTTAAGAAACTTTAAGACACATATCTGGAACAGTAGCTTTAAGTTAAAACAGAAAGCCTGTACTGGCCAGAATGCAGGTTTAAAATGCCACAATAGATTGCATGCAATACCAGGGGAATACTAATTTACTAACCAAAGCATAGAAAAAATTTAGCCAGGATCAAAAGAAAATGCTTTAACAAAAATAGAAAGGTTAATAATGGAAGACTTTTTCGTTTATCAGATGGCCCACTATAATGAACTATTTAAAATCATATGGAATTATCTAATACTGATAATTAGTATCAAATATGCTAACTTTCCATCCCCTGCAAACAGCCCACTGGTATTATTCAGCAATGAAACTCAACTAAAAGAGATTACTTACGTGTGAACGCCATCTGATTTTCTTTGTTCAAAAACTATAGTTTTGCCTTCTGGAGAGGCAAGATGGAAATCAACATCTAATCCTGCTCCATCTAAAACCTATAGAAAAGCATACATGAGAAAAACATACATTACAAATTATGTATGGAAATAACATTATGTATGTATTATTTATGGAAATAAAAAATTATATATCATAGATTATATGACATAAAGATTTGCTAACCTAGAGAGGTAAGAAAGTCAACAGTAATGTCTGGGCTAGAAAAAAAACAAAAGATCATCTAGTTCAATTCCAATCATTTTTGGAACTTTCCCATCCATACCTGTTTCTCTCACAATCACCTAAATATAGGCCTTATGGATATTACTGAAATAAATCATCCTAAAATAGTGCTTTCATTCAGAATCCATGTAGAATGGACAGAAACACAGAGGGCAATTCAAATGTTGGGCTTAAAACTTAGGCAATTTAGGACATTGCATATAACTGTTTCCTCTTCAAAAAAAAAAGAATAATAATTAACTACGTCTTAGCCTGGAATTCAAGACCACCATGGTGTAGACTCCAACTGACTTCAACACATTCTTCTACTACTTCCCAGTATGAATTGTGTATTCAAAGTAGGCCAGTTCATTTAGTAGCCAATGAATACAATCTGTTCATTTATAATTCCAAAATGTCCTTCTATAAAGATGATGATAATGATGGCAACTAACAATTATAGTTGATGCCATAAATTTTCTTAAATGCTTTATGTGGATTCACCTATTCCTTATAACAACTCTAAAAGGTAGGTTCTATTATTCTCATTTTAGTAAAAACACAAAGAACAAAAACTGAGGAACACAGAAGTCATTTTTCCAAAGTGACACAGCATTAATTCATCTAGACCACATTAAAAAAAGTAAAAAATAAACCAAAGTGATACAGCAAATAAGTGACGTAGTCAAAATTTGAACTCAGCAATCTGCCACTAGAGTAATTTTTAATAAGTATGCTGTGTTGCCTCTATTTCTGTTCCATTCTCCTGAATAGGTACTCATCCATTTGTACCCATTCTTTAAGAGCCAGTTTAACTCATTTATGCCTTTTGTTCCTTTATTGGAACACTAAGCATGTGGGACTTATTTATATACTACTGCTCAAGGTCATCACCAAGATCTCATTTTGCAATTCAAAATATTGCAAACTCCTGCATAAATGGGTTAAGTCCTTTGAAATGTCATCTGAATCCTCCTGTCCCATCCTCTTGCACTCTCTTGTATTCCTTTACAATGTGCACCTATCCTCTTTGGCACTTACGAGACATTCTCTGGAATCTAAGCGTCTTTTTTGTAGGATTCACTTAGCATGAACTTGTAGGTACCTTTATGGATACCTATGTAGCACATCCAACATAAATGATAAGATAGATGAAAATTCTGTTCACTATTTTTTAACTCCAAGGGTATTGGTCCTAACAATGGTATCTATATTTTGATTTTTTGTCACAAATGCAAATAGTTAATACATCTTTTTATCATCCTATGCAAATTAAAGTGTCTCAGTGAAAAACCTTTAGATCTGTCTGCAAACCTCTCTTCCTCTCTTTTCCTATGTTTTCTCTTCCATATTTATAGTGTTTGCTAAAATTAAAAAAAAAATCTATTTAGAACACTATATAGTAGAGCCTCTTAGAAAAAAAACCCTAACTCAATGGCTACTCTTTTTTTTCTTAACACTCCATTTTATTTTTCTTGGTGGCTTTAATGTGATGATATAAAAGATTACTTACTCCTGTGCTCTTATTGATCAACAGAACTGGTTTCAAATGGCTGGCTAAATATACATTATTATTTTTCTTCTTTAAATCCCAATAAAATGAAGAAGACATGTAACAATTTAAAGAATCTATAGGCTGGGCATGGTGGCTCATGCTGTGAGGTGGGTGGATCACTTGAGGTCAGGAGTTTGAGACCAGGCTGGCCAACAAGGCAAACCCTCATCTCTACTAAAAATAAAAAAGCCAGGCATGGTGGCACATGCCTGTAATCCCAGCTACTTGGAAGGCCGAGGCAGGGGAACTGCTTGAACCCGGAGTTGGAGGTTTCAGTGAACTGAGATCATGCTACTGTACTTTAGCCTGGGCAAAAGAGTGAGACTCCATTTCAAACAAAAACAAAAATCTACAAAGAAGGAAAATTCCCGTTTTAAAAGATGAAAATCTTTAGACAGAAAGGATCTAATACATGTGAAGGAGAATAAATGAAAAAAGACTAAAAGAGAAAGTTTTCCAAAGGATTTAAAAAGTATAATCTTCTATCAAAGAGAAGTAGTACAGAACTGCAAAGTAACAAGAATTGGGATTAGCATCAGAATTCTTACATATAACATTAGATGGAAAAAAATAATGGAGCCCTATAGTCAATGTTCCCAAGTAAAAAGATTATATTTACTGAAGTGAAACCAAAAAGCCGTTTGCCAGGTGTAGTAGCATGCACTGGTAGTCCCAGCTACTCAGGAGGCTGAGGTGGGAGGATTACTTGAGGCTAGGATTTAAAGGCTGTAGAGTGCTATGAAAGTGCTATGAAACCTGTGAATAGTCACTGTACTCCAGTCTGGGCAATATATTGAAACCCTATCTCTAAAATAAAATTTTAAAATAATTAAACAAGCTATTTTCAGATATCCAAGGACTCAAAACATTTTCAAAGAATTACTTAAGGATATCCTCCAAAAAACCAAAAAACATAACCATTATATCAGAAAACAAGCAACGTAATAAAACTAAGAAAAGATTTCAGTTAAACAAAGTTAAAAAGCAGTTATTGGTAGTGGCTGTCAGGCTTAATGAAATTGTCAAAAATGATTTTTAAGACTATGGAAGTTTAATTTAAAAATCTCTATGTATCTATCTATCTATGAACTTGTCCCATCCCTACCTGAGACAGGATCTCACTCTTTTGCCCAGGCTGGAGTGCAGTGGCACAATCTCAGCTCACTGCAACCTCTGCCTCTCGGGTTCAAATGTTTCTCCTGCCTCAGCCTCCTGAGTAGCTGGGATTACAGGCATGCACCACCTTGCCAGACTTTACGGCTGAATAGTACTCCATTGTATATAAGCACCACATTTTCTTTATCCATTCATTTGTTGATGGACACTTAGGTAACTTCCAAATTTTGGCTATTGTGAACAGTGCTTCAGCAAACATGGGAGTGCAGGTATCTCTTTGATATACTGATTTTCTTTCTTTTGGGTATATACCCAGCAGCGGGATTGCTGGACTATATGGTAGCCGTATTTTTATTTTTTTGAGGAACCTCCAAACTGTTCTTCATGGTGGTTGTACTAATCTACATTCCCACCAACAGTGTATGAGGGTTCCCTTTTCTCCACATTCTGGCCTGTCTTTTGGATATAAGCCATTTTAACTGGGGAGAGATGATCTCATTATAATTTTGATTTGTATTTCTCTGATGATCAGTGATGTTGAGCACCTTTTCATGGGCCTGTTTGCTATTTGTATGTCTTCTTTTGAGAATTGTCTATTTAAATCTTTTGCCTACTTTTAAATTAGATTATTAGATTTTTTTCCTGTATAGTTGTGTGAGCTCCTTAAATATTCTGGTTATTAATCCCTTGTCAGATGGATAGTTTGCAAATATTTTCTCCCATTCTTTGGTTGGCTCTTCATGTTGTTAACTGTTTCCTTTGTTGAGGAGAAGATTTTTAACTTAATGTGATCCCATTTGTTCATTTTTGCTTCAATTGCCTATGCTTGTAAAATATTACTCAAGAAATCTTTGCCCAGACCAATGTCCTGGAGAGTTTTCCTAATGTTTCCTTATAGTAGTTTCAGAGTTTGAAACCTTAGATTTAAATCTCTAATACATTTCAATTTGATTTTTGTATATGGTGAGAGAGAGAGGTCTAGTTTCATTCTCCTGCATATGGATATCCAGTTTTCCTAGGACCATTTATTGAAGAGATTGTTTTTTCCTCAGTGTATTTCTTAGCACCTCTGTCAAAACTGAGTTCACTGTAAGTGAATAGATTTGTCTCTAGGTTCTCTGTTCTGTTACTTTGGTCTATGTGTCTGTTTTTATCCAAGCACCATGACATTTTGGTTATTATATCTCTGTAGTATAATCTGAAGTTAGGTCATGTGACTCCTCCAGTTTTGTCTTGTTTTGCTTAGTATATTTTTCAGCTATTCTGGTTCTTTTGTGATTCCATATACATTTAAAAATTGTTTTTTCGGCCGGGCGCGGTGGCTCAAGCCTGTAATCCCAGCACTTTGGGAGGCCGAGGCGGGTGGATCACAAGGTCAAGAGATCGAGACCATCTTGGTCAACATGGTGAAACCCCGTCTCTACTAAAAATACAAAAAAAATAGCTGGGCATGGTGGTGCGTGCCTGTAATCCCAGCTACTCAGGAGGCTGAGGCAGGAGAATTGCCTGAACCCAGGAGGCGGAGGTTGCGGTGAGCCGAGATCGCGCCATTGCACTCCAGCCTGGGTAACAAGAGCGAAACTCTGTCTCAAAAAAAAAAATTGTTTTTTCTATTTCTGTGAAGAATGCCGTTGGTATTTTGATAGGAATTGCACAGAATCTGTAGATTGCTTTGGGTAGTATAGACATTTTAACAATATTGATTTTTCCAATCCATGAACATGGAAATAGCTTTCCATTTTTGGTGTCCTCTTCAATTTCTTTCATCAATGTTTTATAGTTTTCTTTATAGAGATCTTTCATTTCTTAGGTTAATTCTTAGGTATTTAATTTTACTTGTGGCTATTTTAAAGTACGGGATTACTTTTTAAATGTCTTTTTCAGATTCTACAGTGTTGGTATACAGAAATGCTATTGATTTTTGTATGTTGATTTTATATCCTGCAGCTTCACTGTATTTATCAGTTCTAACAGTCTTTAGGTTTTTCCAAATATAAGATCATATCATTTGCAAAGAAAGAGAATTTGACTTCTTCCTTTTCCAAATTGGATGCCCTTTCTTTCTTTCTTTCTTTTTTTTTTTTTTTTTTTGAGGCAGAGTTTCGCTCTTGTTACCCAGGCTGGAGTGCAATGGCGCGATCTCGGCTCACCGCAACCTCTGCC